TACATGGAAAGATAAGGCTGGAAAGATGCGTTGGAGCCAAGCCCCAAACACCAGGTTCCCACCACTTGCTAGGCAGGCAAGAGCCGGAATCATTCTGACTGTACAGGTATCTTTTCACATTTCCTAAGTTGGGATGTGGGAGTGGGTACAGGAGGAAATCTTGAGTAAGATTCTTATCTATTCCTTTACTTCCCCTTCCGGAAATCCTACTTCACGTCCACCCTCCATTCTTCCTGCTGCAGGGTCAGTTCTGTCTGTCCCCCCTAAGGCCAAGTTCCTTTCTTATGTCTCCTACCTACTGAATAGGTACTATGTTCTGGCACTTTGTATGAATCATCTCATTTTTCCTCTTAGGATCGTCTCTAATAGCTACAAAAGCATGTTTGGGATACAGCTCACCTGCATTTGAGTCCCAGATCTATCTTTACTAGTTGGGTATCTTCCAGCAGGTCAGTTCACTGTTCCGTGCCTCTGTGTCCTTATCTGTAAAATGGGAGTAATGGCCGTGTCGTCAAACTTCTCATAAGGCACTAGTGAGAATAAAACACAAGTACTCTGCTGACTTCATACGGTTCCTAGCACACTGTCAGCTTCCAATATATGCTATTATTACTATTCCCTGTCCTAAGGGGGCAGTGATCTCTGAAGGGACCACACCTTGTTATCTGTTGTTATATGAGTTGGGCCTGGCTGGTGAAACTGCCTATCTTCAGTAGCTGACAGAGAGGGAGAGGCCTGGTCCTCTGAAGTCCAGCTGGGCACACTGCCAGTCCCTAGCTCAGCCTGCGGCCCTGGCAGGGCCTCTCCTCACCCTTGGGAGCCACACCAGTGCTGACCCCACTCAGCTTCCTGTCTCCCTTATCTTCCCCAGCATGTGCTTTCTGGAGTGGGAAATGCTACTACTTACTTCCTTCACTTCCCTTTGCTCAACAGGACCCTCATTCTTTAGGGCTCAGTAAATCCCAGCGGCTGGCCCTGTGCCCACACTGCTCTGTGGTTTTCTGCCCCTCGGTCTCCTGGGCCAGATGCAGCAGAGGCTCTGGCTCCAACTGCAGCATTTCTTGTCTCTTCCCCACCCCCAACCCTGGGCTTAGAGGGGGGATGGGGACACCCCTCAAGCTGCCCCCAACTCACTAGCTTCCCTACCCCCAATACTCTCTTCCTTCTCTCTGTACCCAATCCCATACCCCATCCTCTTTGAGCTCAAATCTCTGCTCTGCACTTCTCGACTCATCCAAAAAGCTTCTGTGCTTTAATAATCTAACCTGTCACACGGAGAAAATAAGCCTGGTGCTGTCTGCCTAGAGGAAGCAATAAAGGCCTAGCACTCAGTACAAAGTTTTGGCATGTTTTATATTACATATAACAGAAATATTCAAGCATGGTGGAAGTATGTGTTCAAAACTATATTGATGGAGTGATCTCTCCCAATTTTGAGATACTATGTGGTTGTTAAATTCACAAACTTTGGCATGAGAGAGATGTAGGTTCCAATTATAGCTTCTACTGTATGACCTTAGGTAAGTCACTCTCTCTCTCAAAGCCTTTTTTAGTAAAATGATGTTAATGGAACCTACCTGGTAGGGCTGGCATATGAATGAAGTGAGATGATTTATGTAAAGAATTTAACACCGTTCCTAGCCAAGATAAAAGTGACCTATGATAATAGTTGTTGTCACTGCTATTTAATTTTCAGGGCACGGTGTGTAAGGTGTGTGTTTGGGAAAGAGCTATTGATGATGTCACTTACCTCCACCGCAGATCTCAGTGTGGTGAGCCCTGTGCATACTGGTGTGGATCCTCTTTAATCCCAGTGACCCAGGCCCTACCTGCTTAGATGGAAGACTCACAGCCCCCAATTTCAAACTGGTTCAATCCTGTACTTTATTACCCTCCAACCCAAAGCACCCTCCTAGCTCACAAGGGAGAAAAAAGGCAAAGCAAAAATGTACAAACTCACTAGGAATCAGATGAAGCAAAGTAAAACCAAAACAAAGTGCCATTTTCCACCCAATCATCTGACAATGCCAAGGGCTGGCAGGGAAGAGGAGCGAGGGAAATCTCGCCCACTCACTGAGATATAAATTTGGCCCAACCTTTTTGGAAAGCAGTTTGGCAATATCTAGTCAAACTGAAGACGCACATACCCTATGACTCAGGAATTCCACTTCCAGGTTTGCACCTACAAAAACTCCCACATATGCACAAGAAAACGTTTACAAGAATATTCATACCAGCACTGTTCATAATAGCAAAATACTGGGGAGGGGGGCAGAAGAGGGGGAGTCTGTATTTATCTATTCTTCTGTTGTTAGACACTAAATTCCAGTGTAGTCATAAGATAGCATATTCTAGAGCAGTGGAAATTAATGGACCTACACATGGCAACATGGATGAATCTTATTAACATATCAGGTGAGGGGGTGGGGGCATAGCTCAGTGGTAGAGTGTGTGCATAGCATGGGTGAGGTCCTGGGTTCCATCCCCAGCACCTCCACCAGAAAAAAGAAAATCAATGAAATTACAAAAAAAAAAAAAAGCCAAGTAAAAAAAGCAAGTTGCAGAAGCATATGAGCACTTCAATACCATTTACATAAAGTTCAAGCTAAGTGACCTCATGCTCTGCTTCATTATGCATTTGAAAGTTTACATATTACTTAGGGATATATGCATATGTCATATAAGTATACAGAAATATAAGGATGTAAAAAATAGGAAATTCTGATTCGTGGTTACTTTGGTAGTGGGGCAGGGGTGTGAGAGACACGATGGAGAGGAGTACCGAGGGGGCTTCAATTAAACTGCTAATATTTTGTTTCTTATGCTGCGTAGTAGGGACATGTATGGTTGTAATAAAATTCTTCAAGCATGAGTTAATTCTTCAAATATAAAGTGTTTCACAATAATTTTTTATAAAAGGCAAGACAATATAATTGGCAGTGATTTAAGTCCTTCCGCTTTTCCTAAGTCACAGTCCAGGAAAACAAGGCCCCCATTCTCCTTCTGACTAGACCATTTTGATAAACTGGAAAAACACTTTGTCATTTCTATGTTGATTTGCAACAACTGAGAGGTGAGAATGGACACTCTTGCATATATTCTGCTCAGAGAATGGGAGCCTGGTACATGCCCAGGGCTTTCTCCAACTCTACTATGACATTATCTCTCCCTCCAAGAAACAGTGTATAAAATAAAAAATCAGAATCCCCCTCACAGCCCTTTATCTAATCCCATTTCCCAGAGGTAATCTCTATTGAGGGTACCCTTCCAGCATTTTTCCTATGCATATACAAATACATAGAGATATGCACATACAAATTTTTGCATCTAAGAATCGAATTATATACGGATTACTTGGACAGAAATAAAAAATTTAAACTAAAAATAGATGGAATTATACTATACATTATCATTCCATACTTCTTTTTCATTTATCAATGTTTCCTGCCAACACATCCACTCATAATGATCTGCCATCTTCTTCGACCACAATTTGTTTCTTAAACTTTTATTTTTAATTCAACAAAAGATATATGATCACATTCTAGATGCAAATTTTCCAAACAATACAGATAGACTGATAAAACCCTTCACAAAATAGGGTGAAAAAGATTTTCACAAGATTGCCATCCCTAACTCTTAATCTCAGGACCCTCCCTGGAGATAAACCACTGCTATATTTGATGTACATCCTTTCAGATTCATTTACTCCCATAAAATACTAGGTTGTTTTGTTGTCGTGTGTGTGGCTGACACACAAATGGTTCTAAACTGTATATAATATTCTGTAACTTACTCTTGGAGGTTTATATCATAACTCTCTCATGACTGACTCATTCAGTCATTCATTAGCTGATATTTATTATATTATTTATTATGTGCACTATTCTAGATACAGTAGCTAACAAGATGGACAGCCTCTATTCTCATGGAGCTTACATTCTGATGGGACATTCAGACAATAAACATGTAGATGAATAATGTAATTCCAGGTAGTGCTAAGTGATATGATGAAAATAAAGTGGGGATTGGGCAGGGAAGGTGATTTTTTTAACAAGTGCATAATTCTCCACAGTATAGATTATCATAGTTTGGGGGTGGGACTTCCCAATTTTTCTACTTGCTTCCTAAGAGTAAGAAATAAATTTTATACTGTTATCCAAAATCCATCATAGACACATACACACACAAAACCAAAACACACACAGATACAGCTGAACAAATATTTCATGAAATAATACCCTTACCAAGGGTGATGCACTGAAAATTTTTACACTGCTCTATTTTACTTACAGAAAAAACCCTGCTAATCATGTCCTGCCAAATTGTTTGTTTTCATTGCTCACTAACAGATGGTGACCTCAGTTTGAAAAATACGGCTTTAAGTTACTAATCTTCTGTTGAGAATTAGATTGTTCATAATTCCCTCCTGTTGCAAACAATGCTGCCTGAAGCTGCTTTATACTCAATTTGTGACTATTTCTGAGAGCAAGATCCCTGATTGTGTAATTACTATTTACTTAAAATTCCGAAAAAATGCAGCCAGCATGCTGGAAAGCTGAATTCTAACCCCGGATCTGTCACCACCATGATGTATAAGCTTTGGGCAATTCCCTACATCTCTCTGGGCCTCAGTTTCCCCATCAGGAACCTGTTGATCTCAACACCCTAGAAACTGCTCTAATTTGAAAACAGATGCCCCACCCCCTGACTCAGCGAGGGCAGGACTTCTCTCCCGGCCCTTCTCCCCCTTTTCCGCTCCGTTCCTCAGAAGCGGCCCACAGAAAAGGGAAAAGGCAGGTCTGGGCTGGAGAGTGCGCTGCAGGGCGGAGCAGAGGGAGGGCAAGAGGGTGGCCGGCCCCCCGGTAGGAAATGAGACAGGGCAGGAATAACACTTTATAAGCTGCCGCCCTCTTTCTCTTCCCATGCCCTGGCCACCTTCCAGCCTCCCCTGTCTAGCCTCCTCCCTCCCAGACAGCGCTCACTTCTTTTTCCCCTAGGCTGCAGCCAGCTGGAGCCCCCAGCCTGCCAGAGCCAAGAGCCCAGGTGGGGTCAAGAACCGAAGCTACAGGATGTTGACAACGTTGCTGCCACTGCTGCCTCTACTGCTCCTGCCCGGCTGGGCCCTCTGTAGCCAGGAAGCCTCAGGTGGTGAGTCAAGGGGACAGCTCCTGCCTCGGGATGGTTCTGGAGATTCTGAGCCTGTCTGGGTACATGGGCAAGACCAGAGGAGAGCTTATCCCACTGTGTCTGTATCTACAGCCAGCTGGATCTCTGTGTAGACCAGACAGGGTCCTGAGAACTGGTCTGTGTCCCAAAGCCAAGGTGAAGAAGTACAGTTCAGCTCTGTGTGGGGACGGGGCGGTGGGGGCGGGGGAGGAAGGGGAGGCTGGGGAGGAACAAGACTGGGAAAATAGGAAAGGGACTGGTAGAAAGGGGTAGGGGGAATTAGCCGAAGGAAGAGAGGAGAGACGGGGCAAAGTCTGGAGATGGAGATCTGAGGGTGATGGTGGATAAAGGTGAGTCTAGGGAATATGGAAAGAGACTCAGAAATGAGAGAAAAGATGGAAGAAATGGGAGACACTAGGAGAACTGACAGAAGACTTGGGGAAAGACTGGGGCTGGGATATGTGGGGCAAAAGAGGAGACAAGAGAAGGTAGAGGAAGACTAGGGGGAGTTGGTGAGGTGAAACTCGGGGGAAAGACTAGCTGTGGTCAGTAGGAGAACTCGTGGGGGATCAGGCTGCCTGAAGCAGTTCCAGTTAAGCAGAGAAGGGGAGTTATTGGCCTGCACTGTAATCACATAGGGACCTCCTCTCCCCTCTCCCACAATCTCTGTATCTTCAGTCTCCCCCTCAGAGAGGGAGAAAATAACGAGTATTCAGTGAGTGCTTGCTGTGGTTAATAAGTGTATGGATTCATTAACTCTCACAAAATCTTTACAAGGTTACCCACGCAAATAACTTATTCACATCTGCAGACACAGAGCACAACTTCTCAGATTCAAACCTGGACAAGACACACCCCCCCCACACACACACAGATGTACAACCCCAGACTCATCCCCTCCCCCAACACTCTGTGGGCGCCAACTCTGTGCCAGGCCTTTAGGGTGGTGTGGGTAGAAGAGATAACCAGACATGATTTTGTTTCCAAAAGATCAGCCCCAGTGCCTGAGAGCCAAATAACCCAGAGACAAGGTCTTGGAGCTTAGAACAAAAGAGGCAGCTTTATTACTTTGCCAGGCAAAGGGGACTTACAGCAGGCTAGTTCCTTCAAAACTGTGAACCCACCTTGGGGATGGGGCAGCGTGGTTATATAGCCATAGCTCAAACAATAAAGCATTGATAACAATCAACAGAATCATTTTCTCATCAGAAGACTTAGAATGGCATCATGATGTCTTCAGGCAACCCATTCTGTCACCTTTTCAATCTCTATCTCATAAGCACTCAAGGTGTGGTTTTCTTGGTAGTTAGCCTACTTTGTAATGTTACAGTTCTGTGACCTTCTCCCTGGAGATTGACTCAGAGACCAAGCATGATTATAGCTTTTGAATAAAGTAGAAATAGTAAGATCAATAGCTTTAGTTTCAACAGTGGGCCTGGAACTGTGAGTAGCACCTGATCAGTCAGGTCAGTTGACCGTTTAAGGGCAAGCATAAGAATAAGCAATCTGTTAGCCTAAGTGCGGCCATTTTATTAATCCTCCTTCAATTCCATAGCCTAGAGGAACCCAGTGTAGCCTGTGTGTTTAAAGACAGTTATACAGAATCTGGGAATCACTGCAACTGATCTGCTGTGTCTGAGAAGGTAAAGAGAAGAAACATTAGGAAAACTTCTCCAAAGAGAAGGCAAAAAGAGCTGGATCTTAAAGCATGAATAGAAATTTGCCAGGATACAGAGCAAGCCTGACATGTTATTCACATGTCAGCCAAAAGGTAGCATGAGGGACTCCAAGTACTTTGATACACTATCTAATCACCTCGAAGAGTCCAAAAAAAAAGGGCCGGTGGGGCCTGGTCTTCCGCAGCCTTGAATGGCAGGCTAAAGACTTTGGACCTGATTCTACGGATAGATATTCTATGGGGAAGCTGTATAGCTGAGTGGCTAAGAACGCTGGGTCAGGCTGCCTGCACTCAAACCTTGGCTCTGCTATGCCGCTGTGGCCTATTTTCCATGTGGACTGGGGTTAATAATAGTAGCTACATCAAGTTAATGGGAGGAAGGCACAAATAAGATAATAATGCATATAAAGTACAGTGCCCAGGTCACAATAAACACTTAATGGTTATTATTATTAATATTATTGATAGGGGAGTGTGTCCCTGGAGAATTTTAAGCAGGAGAAGGACATAAACTTACTTCCAGGCTAGGTGGAGGTCAGATTAGAAGGGATGAAACTGAAAAATGAGTGGAGGAGAATGAGGAAGGAAGTTACTACTCTGGTCCAGATGAGAACCTGAAGCAGGGCTGCGGTCAGGAGACAGAGAACAGGAGATGGAATTGGGATTTCATTGTAGCTCAGGATTTGCTAACCAGCCCGAAACGGAGGGGGCGGGAAGGAAGGGGTGAGAGAAAGAAAGATCAGAGTGGCTCTTCCACCAACTGTCTGGATTACCCTGGGGCAAGTGGCTTCTGCACTTCTGGCCTCAGTTTTCTCATCTGTAAAACAAAGATAATAACCCGTGTCCTGCCCTCCTATTAGGATTACCGAGAGCGTCAAATGGGAGGAAGAGTGGGAGGACACTTATTGAAGGGCCTCGAAGGTGGGCGGCCGACCTCTGGGTGGGGTATTATTATCTCGGGTTACATGTCCACCCCTCCCACGCTGGCCTGGGCTCGACGCGCTGACTCCTGCCTCCAGGCCCGCAGGACCTCCACATGCTCCAGGTCTCCTACTTCCGCAATCCCTCTCAAGTGTGGCACCAGGGAAACGCCACGCTGGGGGGGGTTCTGACGCACGTGCTGGAAGGTCCGGGCAACAACGTCACGATCGAACAGCTGCAGCCCTTGCAGGAGCCCGAGAGCTGGACGCTCACAAAGAACCGCCTGGTGCGCTACCTGCAGGAGTTCCTGGGCTTGGTGCAGGTGGTGCACCGCGAGCGGGGCGTGGCCTGTGAGTGGAGCGCGCAGGGGCGGGGCTTGTGAGAGTGGGCCCTTGAGGTGGGAGGCGTGGCCAATGGGCGGGACCTAACGGTGGAGGGGTGGGCAGGAGGAGGCTAGCCTGTGGAAGAACAGGGCGGGGCCTTATCAAGGAACCCAGTTTGGGGATGCCCTGAAGGGACGTGGTCTTTTTGCGTTTGCTAATTGCTGGGTCGGAGCTTCAGGCTGGAGAGGAGTGGGTGTCCTAGCTGACGTACCATCTGCCAGGCCCTCGTCCTGCTGGCATAATCTCGGGATAGTCTCTGTTCCAACGCCCTGTCCCTGATCCACTCTGAACCCCAAAACACACTTCTCCCTGGCGGTCTTTCCCCTAAACCTGGCACCCTTTCCACACAGCCCCCTGACTCTGAATCTCCTATCCACAGTTCCTCTGACCATTCGCTGCTTCCTGGGCTGCGAGCTGCCTCCTGAGGGCTCTAGAGCCCATGTCTTCTTCGAAGTGGCTGTGAACGGGAGCGCCTTTATAAAATTCCGGCCAGAGACAGCCTCATGGGTGGCAGAGCGTCAGGCATCCTCCACAGTGGTCACTTACACTCTGGAGCAGCTCAACAAGTACAATCGTACTCGGTACGAACTGCAGGAATTTCTGCAGGACACCTGTGTGCAGTACGTGCAGAAACACATCACGAATAACTCGAAAGGTATGGGATTGGGGAGGGGCCTGTGTGTTGGGTGGGTTGTTCCAGGCAAATAGATGGATCTGAAGGGTGGATACCTTGAGCAAGAGGAGACCCAGGGCCAGAGGTTTGGGACAGAGTACACAGGCCCTATGTATATTGGTGAACAAGCCCCCTTTCTTTGGGGATGAAATCAAACTATGGACTTCTTGGGAGTATGTTCTTCAAGCTAACCCTCTGCATGTTCTGCAGGGAGCCAAACAGGCCACTCCTACACTTCGCTGGTCCTGGGCATCCTGGTGGGCTGTTTCATCATCGCTGGAGTGGCTGTAGGCATCTTCCTGTGCACAGGTGGACGGCGGCAGCGCTAATGACTCTCCAGCCCCTTCCGGAAAAGGGCTAGACTGATGAAGGCTGGCAAGGGAAGATCTCAGCTCACTGCAGAACCATACAGATTCCCCATCTGGAGCATTATATTCCAGAAGATTTGGAGTAGCAGCTCATTTCTTCAAGATCTGCCCACCAAGAGTTTGGGGGAGGAAAAGGGAGGAGCCTAAGTAGACAAGATACTTGGTTTGCTAAGAACCTAAGAACTTGCATACTTTGCTGAATTGGTCTGAAAAGTGAATGCTTATCAGTATTTGTGGAAAACAGATGATGGAGTTGGGGCAGTGGGTGTGGTCTATGGCCCATCTTCCAAAGATAGAGTCACCTGAGTCATTCAAAACACATAAACAAATAAAACAAGTCATCCACAACCCTAATAACCAACATTCAGTGCTTCCAGATGTGTTAGACTTGGGACAGGACACTGGTACAATAGTGGTAGAAATAACCAGAAAAATGGTGGAAGCATAAAATCCAAATAATATGGGAGTGAGGAGTTATTAATTAATATAAATAAATTCCTTACTTATGTATATGGAATTATTATTTCCTCTACTTTGCAAACTTTTGGGAAAGTAGCCTATGCCCTTTGCTTCTACTTCCTCATCTCTCACTCACTCTTCAATCCACTGCAATCTGACTTCTCTGTAAACTGCTCTAAGATCATTAATGACCTCTAAGTGTGAAACCTTCATCTTCCATGATATCTGCAAAGTTTTACTTTGTGGACTAGGACTCTCTTTTTACCCTAACTTCTGAGATAGCAGGCTTCTAATTTTTAACAACTCTTCTGGCCATTCAGTCAATCCCTTTGCCTATCTCATCTTTCTCAATTCACCTTTGAAATGCTGGCTTCCTTAGAACTCCATTTTTTAGCTCCTTTTGTTCCCCTTTCAACTATACCTTTTCCAGTGACTTTCCATGACTTCAAATACCAGCTATATGTGGTGGTTTCCATGGGGAAGCAATGTCATAATGTCTTTGAGAGCATGTGTTTTGTCATCAGAAAGATGAGTTTTACTTCTTTGAGCTAGGCATTTAACCTCTTCAAGTCTCAGTTTCTTCATAAACAAAAGGTATAATAAAATATGCAAAAAGGGTATAATAAAAACAATGCCTACCTCACAGAGGCATTTTGAGTATTAAATAAGATAATATATATAAATATATGCATATAATATATGCATACTCAATAAATATAGCACTTGCTCCTGACCTCCAGACCCCCCCATTTGCCTTGATTCTTGAAAATCATCTCTACGTTAATATTTTGCAGACATTTCAGAGTCGACATATTCAAAATGAAATTCCTTATCTTTCTCCCCAAACTTGTTCTCTCTTCTTTTGTTTACTCTCAGTTAAAAAGAATTACTATCAAATCGTATCAATGTAGAGGCCTCAGTGTTAAACTTTGTTTACTCTCTCTTCATCTGCACCTACAAAATACAATATCTGTAGACTCTGTTCCCTCCTTTCCACTCCATTGCTTTTATTCAAGATACCATAATTCATCTCTTTCTTTGTGGTAGGCATAGAGGTGTGCCACCCAATTCCACCTTCAAGGAAAGTCTTGCTGTTCACCTACAAGGAGCATAGTCAACAGATAACCTCCAGCTTCTTCAGTTCCTTCAGTGTCTGCCTCATCTGCAAAGAACAGTCCTGCATGAGGGGATACTCATTCAGTGACTGAGCAAAGCAGGGGTAAAAAGGTTCAGCCATTCTGGCCCACTGCAATTCTGATGAGCTGTATTCACTCCCAGCTCCTTGACAGGTTGGCTGGGTCTTTGTTGGCTCTACACTGCAGTTTGACTTCTTCCTCTATTCAATCTTGCTTCCTCCCCCTAGGTAATATCTTGCACCTCAAACTCTGTCTCAGCATCAGCTTCCAGGAAACCCAACCTGTGACTGACAATTTCTCTCTCTGTCTCCAAACTGAGAAAGTCTCTCAGTCTTTTGACTGGACCATGGCAATAGCCTCCTCCTAATTTTTCTCCTGGCCTCTGCCATAGCTAGATGGAGGGGAAAAGGGAAAATTATAGTTATCTTTGGCTTCTCTTGTGGGAGGTGATACCCTATCTTCCATTAAGATTCACACAGAAGAAGAGGTTTCAGATGTAGGGAAAACAAAAAACAAAACAAACCCCTAAATTTTCACTGTATCTCTCACCATCAATTTATTTACTTATGCAGTAAGTGTTTATCAGTAACTTCCAAATGCAAGGTTTTATGCTATGTACTTTGGAGAATATAAAATGATTAAGACATGATCCTTCTTGAGGAGCTCATTGTTTACTTGGGAAGATAAAACATATACAAATAAGAGTAATACAAGACAGGCTATCCAAATAAATGGAAGAAACATAAATAAAGATGCTATGTTGTGATTTATGTATTGCTTTATGGTTTTTAAATTTTTTAACTTGTATTTATCATTTTGTACTCACTGAGATCTTATAAGATAGGTAGTCCCCTCATTTTAAATTAGGAAACGTGCTTAGTTAGGATAGTATAAAAAGTAAAGTAAGTAGCAGGGCCAAAATTCAAACCCATGTTTTCAGGTTCTAGAATTTATGTTTTTTCTACTCTTTCTAAGGGAATCAGAGGAATCTAGGGCAGAGCAGTGGGGCGGAGAGTGGGATTTGTGGATGGGTAAGATACGACCACACATAGATAGGAAATATAGACAGAACAGTTTAAATAATGGCATAGAGTTAGAAAAAAAGCAGAGTAAATTGTAGAAAGGATAACCAGCCCAATGTGATTGGAGAATAGAGGAATGGTGGAAAACGAGACTGGAAAGGTAGGCGAGGGTTTCATTGCATTGGGCTTCTAAAGCCTCTGGAAGGCGTGTATTCTTTAGGTGGTAAAACACTGGAGAATTATCAAGGGTTGTTAGACAGAGAGCTGCTGAAGTCTTCTTTCCCCTTTCAGCTGCACTGTTGAAAAGGGGACATCAGATGGGTTAGACCCACTGACCCCAAGTTTAAAAGACCTGGCCTGGACACTGTCTAGATTGTAACAAGGAAGAACAAATCTGACTCCATATTAGATCTGTTTCTTGAGCTCTAACCCTGTGCTCTTTATCCTGTGCTTAGTCATACTGGTTCTGCCCCTTTTATAAAAGAATGTCGCCTATAGCCTGAAACATACAGGATAGCCTATTCTCACAGCTCTGACCTTCAAGGGTATAACACTTTTCCACTCATATAGAGATAAAGAGATGCAGAACAGAGAATAACATTTGTCTTGTTAGCGGTTTACAGGAACATCATGACCTGACCTATGTAGGCAGCTGCAAGAATAAAGGAGTCTGACACCAAGAAGTCTGCACCAACCAACCACACCCGTTTCCCATTTCAGTATAAAAGGAGCCTGAATTCTGACTTGGGTAAGATGGTTCTCTAGGACATTAGTCCCCCATCTTCTTGGTCTGCTGGCTTTCCAAATAAAGTCATTATTCCTTGCCCCAACACCTTGTCTCCTGATTCATTAGCCTGTCATGTGGCGAGTAGAATGAGTTCGGACTTGGTTAACAAGATTGAGGCTAGACTAGGCCTTCTCCCAAGTTAGGGATCAAAAAGGAAAGGAGAAGGTGGAAAGAAACCATTCTGGAGAAGAGTGAAATCTTGGAGTGTCAGCCAGGTGTACTCAGGCGCTGAGATGTTATATCACCCCTTTCACCAATGCTGCCACCACAGTAGTTCAGGCCTTCACCAGCTCTAACCTGGACTATTAGAATCAGATCTTACTCTCTTTTAGTACTGTCAAAAAGTTGCCATCAGAATGCACTTTCTAAAACATGCTAGTTTTCTCTTCAGAATTTTTTAGTTCTTCCACTGTCCA